CATCTTCTTCAAATACACCCAGTAAAGACCTTGTCTGTATAAAATAAAAGCAATAAGTTTACATTAACCATTATATAAATCAGATGGAATTTTTTCTAAAGGAAAGAAAAATCATAGAATATTAGTGCTCTAATTAATCTCAGTTTTAATATATTTTCTCTCTTTCGATAGTAATACTAAGATGTTGGGATTCTTTGTTCTCAATTTCACTTCATTAAAACAGGGATTTTCCAAATATATCACACGAACCTTAGGAAAAATAACAAATATATATTTTTATGAAGTAAAAAGTCTATGATTAAACTAAGACAAATCAACAGAAATGTTCAAGGCTAGATTAACAGTATTCCATGTACGAATATTTTAAATGTCTTATTTTGGGATAACTTAGTATGATTATTTATTTTTCTCCATGGTATTTTCTACAAGTGCCAAGCCCCTCCCCATCCTAATCCAGAAAGAATACCATAGTGCCCCTCTCCAACATGGCCTATAAAACATTAACTATGGATCTGAACAGACACTTCTCCAAGGACATACAGAGAGCCTAGAGGCATATGAAAGGATGTTCAGCATCACTAGCTATCAGAGAGATGCAAATTAAAACCACAATGAGATACCACTTCACACTAGTCAGATTGGCCATCACTAACAAAGCAACAAACAACAAGTGTTGGAGAGGTTGTGGAGAAAAGGGAACCCCAGTGCACTGCTGTTGGGATTGCAGACTGGTGCAACCACTATGAATTTCCTCAGAAAACTAAAAATGGATCTGCCTTTTGACTCAGCAATTCCACTGCTGGGACTATATCCTAGGAACCTTGAAACACCAATCCAAAAGAACCTAGGCACCACAATGTTCATAGCAGCACAATTTACAATAGCCAAGTGCTAGAAACAGCCTCAGTGCCCATCAGTAGATGAGTGGGTCAAAAAACTGTGGCACATTTACACAATGGAATAGTACACAGTAGAAAGAAAGAAGGAACTCCTACCTTTCACAACAGCATGGATGGAACTGGAGAATATTATGCTAAGTGAAATAAGCCAGGCAGTGAAAGACAAATACCGTATGATCTCACCTATAAGAGGAACCTAATGAACAAAACAAGCAAATGAGCAAAATAGAACCAGAGGCATGGAAACAAGGAACAGACTGACAGCAACCAGAAGGGAGGGGAGAGAGGGATATGGGTGGAAAGAGGGGGAAAGAACTAGTCAATATGTATGAAAGACCCATGGACATGAACAACAGGGTGGGGACTGACTGTGGGAGCGGGGCTGGGAGGAGGAGATCAAAGGGGTAAAAATTGGGACAACTGTAATAGAACAACAATAAAATACTTAATAAAAAAAGTTAACTACATTTTTCTGAGTGTAAAATTTAGTGTTATTTTTCTTTTCTATATATACTTCTTCATTATTAGGCTTTTTTTTTCAATGAGCATGTAAATATGTTCATTTTAAGGAGAAAAACTTGTAGGTAAATATTAAAACTGTCCATAAAAAAGTATGAGAGATAAGGAAATTCAGCATATCGAGGCAAAGTATGCTCACCTGGTTGTATCTCAAAGGCAGAGAAGAATTAAAATACCAAAAACTATTACCAAAACTAAAGCTTAAAATCTAAAAGACCTTGTATTTTTATTCTAGAAAGCTCAACCTTAAGGGCTAGTTTTTAGGCACTGGAAAGGTAGCTCAGATGGTTACAGCATGTTCCTGATAAGGTAGCAGGTTTGATCCCCTGTCAGGGAACATACAAGAATCAACCAACGAATGCATAAATGAATGGAACAACAAATTGATGTTTCTCTCTCTCTAAAAAAATCAATTTTAAAAAAGTTGGCTTTAAAAAAATCAATTTATTCCTTAGCTTCCTATTTTCAGAAGAGGAAGCTAAGTGAATATGGTTTCATTTTAAGAACAAAATCATTATGCCAGTATACAAAGTCCACATTCTCTGTCCTCTACTTCCCCATGCCCCAGGGATTTAGGTCTGACAGAATCTTTTTATTTCCTAGCTCTAGTGCCCTACTCTCACCTCGCAAAGTACAATTTTAAGATGTGGTAAGAAAAGCATCAAGAAATCTTGTTAGACAGAATTTTATACATAATGCCATATAAACATAAAAAGGAAAACACAAGCAGCATAAATTTAATGTAACCCTAACATTTCTTCACAGAGTTAACTCTTATGAGTCACTTTTTGACACAAGAGTTGTCGATATCCACATTTTCTCATCCAATACTATTCTGTGCCATGAGATGACAAATATTTGTTAGAAGCACTCCACTTTTGTCCCCAACACAGGGTGGAGCAAAAGTAAGTTTATAGTTGTATGTGAAATAGTTTATTTTTGTATTATTATTTATTAATAATTGTATTTTACATAAGAACAACTGTAAACCTTTTACCCCACCCTGCATTTTCTTACATTGTCATCGAATACCCATTCTGCAATATTTTTAAAATTTTATTTATTGATTTTAGAGAGAGAAAGGAAGGAGGAGGGGAAGAGAAACACACTGATTTGTTGTTCCATTTATTTATGCATTCATTGGTTGATTCTTGAATGTGCCCTGACTGGGGATTGAACCTGCAACCCTGGTGTATGGGGATGATGCTAGAATCAACTGAGCCACCCAGCCAGGGCTCAGCAAGTTTCAATGGTGGCACTTGCTTTGTCCCACAAGGTATCAAAGGAATACTTTCCAACAACAGATAGGACTGATTATGCTTCAAGTTGTTGTTACATTGATTTGTTGGGTGAACACTGAGAGGTCACACTTGGCTAGTTATGCCACTAGGAGAAACAACCAAGTGTGTACATTGGCAGGCAATTACATGTAAAACATCATCAGCTGTAAGGGGACTCTACAATAGATAACAAAGGTGTGAAAAAGTGAGGAAAGCAATGTGTCATAATCTATGACATTTTTCATATTATGACAAAGAAAGAAGCCACCGTTTGCAATTGGAGTTTGTCTTCACTGTTCTAGAATGGATGAATAATCATGAGTAAAATATATACCTACATATAAAATCAATTATTTTTTAAAGATCATATCTGTTCTTACTAATTAGGAAGTTTCACTTTGTTTATTTTCAAAACACTATATAAAGATGGACAAGGCATTAGTATAGTCTTAAGACTTTTTGCCTCAATAGATGATCTTTTGCAGAATGTGTTGTTTGTACATGGTAATTCTAAAAAGGTTTATGTTTGATTTGCTGTATATGAAGTTGCAGATTCCTCCCTAATTTAATAGTTTCTATAAATCAAAACTAAAAAAAAGAATAACTGTAATTCAGGATAGTCTTTCATGACTCCTTGGCTCTAATTTTTTTACATGGCAACTGGCAGGCTTTTAAAAAATGATTAGTACCAAACGATCTAATAAAAACTTTTATCGGGAGCTTTAAAAGTTTCCATACCCTTTGTTACTTGGCTTCTTGGACTCTATCCTAAACAGTCCAAATGAAAACAAAAATTTATGCCCAAAAGCATGAATCTCAGCCCTATATACAAAAGCAAAATTTGGGAAAAAACTCTGAAAGTCCAATAGGACAACTATTAAGTTAGTTAAGGAAACATGCAGCCTTTAAATTCTTTTATTCAGAATATGTGAAGGTACTTAAGCCATAATGTTAAAGCCAAAAAGTTGTATGTCTGATATCATTTCGATTACATTAAAATGTGTAAGAGGAAAAAAAAATAGAAAAAAAGAAAGCAAACAAGGTTAACAAGGTTTGCTGTTGGGTACATGGCACATAACTGCTTTTCTTTCCATACTTCCAATTTTTCTGAAGTAAATATTATTTTTATAACCAGGTACAAAAATAAAAACATCTACTATGTATAACAGTGGTGGTTCACAGAAGTTGAGTAATTTGCCCTAAAGCTGAAGGGACCAAGTGGCAGTGAAGATTAAAACCCATATATCCTGAATCCAGATCCAGGGCTTCCCATTCTGCCACAGGTTCTCCCTAAGAATTACTTCCAAGTGTCTCTCCTTTCCAAATCCCAGTTGTCACCAACGAATTTTCCCAACTAAATGTTATCTAGTTCAAGACTACTGATATTACTTGTAGAAAATGAAGTATCAGTGTGGATATTTCATTAAAAATTACTATAAAACTAATACTGATGTAGCACATTCTTGTAAAAAAATAGAAAATTAATGTTCAGGTGTGAAAAGTTCAAGAAATGAGCCAAGAGATTATATCCTCCTCTCAAGTCATGGCTAGGGCACCGTACAACCCATCTTGAGCTGTGTATCATCTTTATGGGCTATAAAAATCAAGCCAGTAAAAGAGTAAGGCAACCTGTTGAGTCTTAGATAATAAAAAAGTAAAAGGACAAAGTGCACCTGATCAATACAGCCCACAAAATTTTTGCAAAATGTCTGAAACAAAATATAGCTGATAACACTGCAGACAATAATTTGAACTGGCTATTCTAGCAGTCAAGTAAGCCAAGCTGTGGGTTTCTCTTTGTATCGGTATAGACTGATAAGAGTACATTACCAGCAAGCAACTGGCCTGTGAAGATAACTTTCAGCATGGAAAAAAAAACCAAATCAATTCCACAATCAGAGCCCAATTTCAATTTGGCACAAATCCATGGCAGACATGGAAAGAGGGATCTAACCCTTCCTCCCGTCCTTTTGAGGTCATATTAAATGCCAATACAAATGAAAATCGTGCAACTGTAGTTCTACATGAACATTTCAGAACACTTTCTTCATTCTAAGTGGTAACCAAACATCAAGGTGGTCTTAAATATCATAAAATTATTGTGTAAGCTAGACTTAAGGATGAAATTTCTCTTGTCAGTTACAGCCCCCACCATGCTTTTAATATCGCTGATTTCATTCTTCAGTACTAAAAATATACAAATGATTGTTTTCCTAGATTGTCTTAAGCTAAAGCAATCACACCAGCATCATTCCCAACGCGCAAAATACAGAAAACAGGGCTTTTATTTTGATGAGTTTATTAGGGGCAAGTCTGCAAGGAGCAGCGCAGCACTCGTGGAACAGCGAAGGCGACGTCCATCACACGCCGTGCACAGCTCGAGTGACAGCGGCTAAGTCACGGCCACAACCCTGGGCACACAAAGCGGGTAGACTCTGGAACCAAGAGGAGCTTCCCCGATGACTCACTACAGGGTCCAGTGAACAGTCTCTCAGCATCCCCCAAAAAACCATCCATCTCCTTCCCTAGCTTGCACAGAAATTACCACGTAAGTCAAACCGGTTCTTTCTCCTTCTGCATTTTCTTCGAAGAGGTTTTCAGTGCGAAAATTGCAGGGTCGGGATTTATCACCTCTCATCGCGGCGATTAAAACGCACCTTGCGTCAAAAAAAAAGCCCCGAGCACTATTGACCACCGGGCCCACCAGCGAAGGCGACCGCTGACTTCCCAGACCCTGCGCGCGGCTCTCGGCCTAGAAGTGCGTGCCCACGATAACCGCGGGCCGGGGTCCAGCCACCGTGGCTCTGGGCACGCACCCCAAGGGTGGGGGCACAGGGCGGCGGCGCCCACCTGGGCCGGGCGGGCACCTGCGGCCGCGACGACTTCAGGCCTGAGGCCGACCCGCCCGGATCCTTGCCCGCCGCCACCCTCACCTTACCTGCGGGCTGTCCTCCAGCGTCTCCTCGATGGGTAGCTTGTCGATCCCCGGCATCGTGGCGGAGGGAGGGCAGCAGCTGGAGACACGGCGGCCGCCCACAGGTCCCCACTCGGTCCCACCCTCTCTCGCGGGCTCGGTCGCCGTCCCCGCCCGCGCAGACCTCACCAGGAGCTTGGCGGTCTGGCGGGAAATCCCGCCCCCTTGGTCTCGCTGCTCCGCCTCCTGGTGCTCTCGTTGGCTTTCCGTGATGTCTATCAGCGCGGCGGGAATGGACCGGGAGGTTCCTCGGCCTCCCGGAGCTTCTCGGGGAACTCCGGCGTTGAGTGGTGGGAAGCCGTGTTGCCTGCTTAAAGGAGGCACTTACCGCGCGCGCGTCTTTGAAAGTAAATTGTCGGGGGCCGTCTCCCACCACCGCGTGCGTCTCCGGGAACCAGAACCTTGAGTCAGGACCGCAATGGGGAAGTTGGGACCATTTTAGTTTTCCTTCAACATTTTTCCTCGAAGACCATGGAAGAAGCCCTAGTGCTGTAGCCTCCCTCCCCGAAGCGTCCAGTCTCTCAGCGAAAAGGCGCTGGTTAACCCAGAGGTCTCTGGGATCCGAAGTTGCGCCATTAACAGCTTTCCTGTGAATTCGTGGAGAGCACACTGGGAAGTATTTTTTCTGGACACTTGGTTATCAGTATATTCAGCTTAAAACATGTGACTTTGTTGCCAATTCATTAATTCTTACCTGGTCTTGAAGGACTAACATGCTACAATTTAGACGTCCATATTTCTTTTAAAAGACAAATGAAAATACATTTAAAAATCAGGATACACTAGTTAATTACGTTGGTAACCGATTAGCATTTCTGTTTGATCAGAAAGTTTTGGAAGAAACTTTAAATAGCTTCTTCAGCCTTTAATTTTACAGTAAAGAAAAATGAAGCTCTACTACTCGAACTTGGTCTGGATTAGAACTCCTGCATCATTGCCCATCTTTCCCAACCTGACGCTGCCTCGTTCATTTCTCTAAAAACAGAAACTTTCGTTACAGATAAAAGGCAAGTTATTAGTGTCTTCTAAGAATCTAGCGATTAATCTTACCACTCCATCCCATTTTCATTCAAGAAATACAAGAAATGCTGAGTAAAGATTATTAGTTAACCTGGTTCCAAAGCTACATTGGAACAAATCCAGATACAATAACTGGGGTGTAACTTACATATTTTCAACTAAAATGCTAGATTTTTTCCCACAATCTCTTGAAGAATGGTAAATTGGGTTTTTAATCCTTTCCCTGGTAGACTTGCAGTAGTTTCACAGAATATTATCCTTAGCTTTAAATAAAAGCTGTCCCCTTGGATTGTTTATAAACTAATCACCCTTTGAAAGAGATCTTTAGTTTCTGAAAGGTGTTTGGAGTCAGTTCTTACCCAGTATTACTGGTTCCCAGCTGCTTAGATGTACCCCCAACATCTACAGATCCCAGCAACCTAAGTCTGTCCTTCGATATTTTTTTTCTCACTCTGGCAGCACAGTGGCATGCAACCTGGCTCTAAGGAAGGATGACTTTCAAGGTAAGTGGCCTTGGTTGAACTGTGATTTAGATAATAAGTGAAAGAAAAGAAAGTGGTAATTGATAAGATAAGAAGAGTGACAAGTAAAAATAAAGTGTAAGAAAAAGGAGTAATTCTGTGGCGTTACTGAAGGAATTTGGCCAGTTGGCCAAACCAAATAATTCCACTGAAAAATTGTGCTAGGTATCTGAATTATCTGGGTGGGGTATTATGATCAAGTTAAATGGTTTCCTCCTTTGTATGTTATGTGCTTCTAAATTGTATTTTTATAAAGGATTCTCAAGAGGCTATTATATTATCAGGGAGGGACAAGGAATTCTTACCAAGCTCTGCTGATTAGAAAAATGAAACAAACAAGAACAAGTTAACGGTTAATTATCACTTTTTAATGGACTCACTTTAACTGATAATACAACTGTTGTCTTAAATTTTTTTTAAAAAATTGATTGATTGATTTTAGAGGCAGTTTAGTCAAATTATAACACTAGGAAGAATCTTAAAAGACCTATTTGGATCCTGTATCTTTAGACTGCTGTATACTCTGCTCATTACAAAAATGATTATGTTTTATATTTTAAAATATCTCTAAAGCTGCAGAATTACAGTCTCCTTTGACAACCAATTTAAATTTAATCAACCCAAATTGTGTAAAGTTGACCAAACTCAGTTCCTTTTAAACAGGAAATGAGACTTGTTCAGAAAGAATGCCTCAGGGGTTACTAGAGACTCACATGTGGGTAGCATACTAAAAACTTTGGGCAGCTGGTTAACTTTATGGTCAGCAAGGCAGGATTAAACAACATTCACCAAAGAACTCTTTAAGACATTTCACACATATAATTCAGTGAGATGTTTCACACATATAATTTACAATAAATGGACATAAAATCCTGTAAATAGATTTGTTAAATTATTAGTCTTCTAAAATTATATTTGATCCTATAATTAGGTTTTTACATGGTACTCCTGGAAGTCCTAGTCTGTGGTCTACAATAAGAACCCAACAACACAAATGACGCTGATGATTTACTTTTCAAAATTATTCCCCTAGGTTTTACAAGTCATCTGGAGAAGGTTGTTTTAGAATACGGTTTTCTTAGCACAGCTGGATAAGATTCTGATGCCGGAGTTCAGAAGTCAGGTGGGAGTTGCCCTAGGTGAGTCAAAGCAAATAATCCTCAAAGCACATGTTGAAAAACTCTATCAAAAATTGAGAATAACCATTTCCTTTTCCCAAGCAACTTTGTATTTTAGAAAATTTAGAGTCAAGTAAACATTTAGGAAAGGAGTCCTAGGTCCCAGGAGGATAGCGAAGGGGCACCATTTCCAAAATCACCTGGAAAGTATGTGAAGCCTCCTGCCCACAAATATACCTTGAAAGACCCAATAAATCTGAAATTCTGAAGAATTTATACTCCTTTTAGAAGTATAATGTGTAATGCAAAGAATTCTGGATGTTACCTAATAAATCACTTTTTAATGGACTCACTTTAACAGATAGTTCAATTGTTTTCTTTAATTTCTAAAAAGTTTTATTTATTACTTATTTTTAGAGAGAGGGGAAGAAAGAGAAACACTGATGTGTGATAGAAACGCCAATTGGTTGCCTCTCGTATGCCCGCAACTGGGGTCCTGGCTCACAACCCACGCGCATACCCTGACCAGGAATCGAACCGGCGGCCCTTTGTTTTGCAGGCCAGCACTCAGTCCACTGAGCCACACCAGCCAGGTCTGTTTTCTTAAATTTTAAAAAATTTATTTATAGATTTTAAAGAGAGAGAGGACTGAGGGGGTAGGGAAAGAGACAGAAACATTGATTTGTTGTTCCACTTACACATGCATGTATTGGTTGATTTTTTTTTTAATATATTTTATTTATTATGCTATTACAGTTGTCCCATTTTCCCCCTTCACTCCCCCACCCCCTCCCACCCACATTCCCCCCTTTAGTTCATGTCCATGTGTCATAAATTCTTTAGCTTCTACATTCCCCACACTATTCCTGCCCTCCCCCTGTCTATTTTCTACCTATTGTCCATGCTACTTATTCTCTATATCTTTTGCCCCTCTCTCCTCCTCCCATTTCCCTGTTGCTAACCCTCCATGTGATCTCCATTTCTATGGTTCCACTCCTGTTCAATTTGTTTGCTTAGTTTGCTTTTGTTTTAAGTATGGTTGGTACTAACTGTGAGTTTGATGTCTTTTTTTACTGTTGATATTTTTTATCTTCTTTTCCTTAGATAAGTCCTTTTAACATTTCTTGTAATAAGGGCTTAGTGATAATGAACTCCTTTAACTTGGCCTTATCCGAGAAGCACTTTATCTCCCCTTCCATTCTAAATGAAAGCTTTGCTGGATAGAGCAATCTGGGATGTCTGTCCTTGCCTTTCATGACTTGGAATACTTCTTTCCAGCCCCTTCTTGCCTGTAAGGTCTCTTGAGAAATCAGCTGACATTCTGATGGGAACTCCTCTGTAGGTAACTGTCCCCTGATCTCTTGCTGCTTCTAGAATTCTCTCCTTCATTTTTATCTTGGGTAATGTAATTATGATGTGCCTTGGCATGTTCCTCCTTGGGTCCAACCTCTTTGGGACTCTCTGAGCTTCCTGGACTTCTTGGAAGTCTATTTCCCTTGCCATATTGGGGAAGTTCTCCTTTATTATTTGTTCAAATAACTGTTCCACTTGCTGTGTTTCCTCTTCCCCTTCTGGTACCCCCTATAATTCGGATATTGGAACGTTTAAAGATGTCCTGGAGGTCCCTAAGCCTCTCCTCAGTTTTTTGGATTCTTGTTTCTTTATTCTTTTCTGTTGGGTTGTTCTTTTCCTCTTTCTAGTCCCTTCCACTGATTCGAATCCCAGTTTTCTTTCCTTCACTATTGGTTCCCTGTGCATTTTCCTTCATTTCTCTTATTGTAGTCTGTATTTGTTCATCTAATTTACGATCAAAGTCCACCAATTCTGTGAGCATCCTGATCACCAGTGCTTTGAACTGTGCATCTGATAGGTTGGCTATTTCTTCATTGCTTAAAAAAATCTGGCTCTGGGGCTTTTAACTCTGTTTGAGCCATCTTTTTAATTTAATTTTATTTTTTTCCTTTGGTCTGGTCGTGCCTGTTACGTATGAGAGGCAGAGCCTGAGGTGTTTGTTCACCAGGGCAGGGCACCTCAGTTGCTGGGTTGTGATGTTTATGTGGGGGCGGGGTCCGAGAGGGAACAATGGTGCCCCCTCTGCTCTCACCAGGACTCCAGTCCCCCTTGCCACTTCCCACAAGCAAATTGGGCCCCTCTGGTGCTGGCTCCCAGGTGGGTGGGCTTGTGCACTCTCTCAGACTCTGTGGGTTTCTCCAAGGAGCCTCCTGTGAGGCTGAGAGAATCTCCCGGGCCTCAACTCCCACAGGTGTTTTCAGTCGGGGTCTTTAGGCTTTGTTTCCCGGCGCTGGGTCCCTGGGTTGCTCGGTCTGTGTCGCTGCCCATTTTTGCTTAGTTTGTCAGCACGCGAATGTGTTGCTGCGGACGGCCATTTGCCTTGTGTGCCTTACTGGGTCTGCTCGTTGCCTCCCATGCCCAGGGTCTGCCACCGGTCTGTCAGCTGCCCCTGCGCTTCTGGGGTCCGCCAACCGCTGTCTGCGTCCTGCGTGCCTGCATCTGCCAGCCACCAATTTTTCCTGCCAGGACCCCTCGACCACTCCCTGTAGGCCTCCGACTGCGCCCCTCCTTACCTGGTCTGGATGTATGGTATTCAGACTTCCGTTTGGTTCATTTCTCTCTGTTCTGGTTGTTTTTTGTTTGTAAATTCTTGTTGTCCTTAGTTTTGGTTGTGCAAGGAAGTACAGTGTGACCACCTATGCCTCCATCTTGGCCAGAAGCTCTATTGGTTGATTCTTGCTTGGGATCAAACCCACAGCCTTAGTGTATTGGGATGATGCTTTAACCAAGTGAACTACCCAGCCAGGGCTCAGCTGTTTTCTTAACATGCAGCTGAGGTGAACAAAATTCAAAAAATTAGCATATTAAATGGTAATTTAGAAAACTGAGTCACTTTCATCCACCTTAAAACATCAGAATCAGTGGTCGAGTAGGGGGAAGCTTTGGGCAACTTGAGTGTAGAATCAAAAGTTCTGAGGAGCAAATTTCAAAAGGAGGTAGGTGGGCAGCAAGAACCAAAAGATTCTTTACTGTGCCACTGCAAATCATCCTCTGGCTTTGACCTTGATTATGATACTGCATTTTTGCTGCAGCATCCTCAGAATGCAAGGCAAATTCTGTAACTCCTTCCTTCCTTCCTACCTACCTACCTACTTATGAAGGGAGGGAGAAAGAGTAGAGGAGAAACATCAATGTGAAAAATACCAGTTGGTTGCCTCCTATACCCACCTGAATAGGGATTGAACTCACAACCTTTTGGTGTACAGAATGATGCTCCAACCAACTGAGATACCTGGGCAGGGTAATCCTGATGCCATTTTAAACAATACTACCATTACCCTTGCTAGTGTGTTATCATTTTGACTTAGGGGCTTTTATTGGCCAAACCCAAAAATTTTTAAATCAGTAATTATGTATTTTGATATTCTGGAGAACAGCTGTAGGTACCAAAACAGCCAAGTCTATTACCCTGTTTTTGGTTTTGGGCAGTGGGAAAGGGAGATGCTCTAAGGTTAAAGGACATAGAACTTCATGTCCCACAAGAATTCTGGGGCAAGTCAGTAGAGAAGAGATTGCTCTTAGAGGAGTCAGTATATTTCATACTGTTTAATCATTGAAAACATTTTAATTTTTACAGAACCACAGAAGCCAGTTGAAAAAAAACAATAACTGAGAATTTGATTAAACCATGCCTAATGCAAATAAATCTCAGGGTTAATCAGCATATTGTTTCAAGAACACTAGGTGGTGCTATAAATTTAGTTTTGAGATTTAAAGTACTACCTCAGGAAATGGTTGTCTTCATTCAACAAATATTTATCTGGTAATGAACAAGATATTTGAAAAATCTCTACTCTTGTGGAACTACAATTTAGTGGGGATGGTAAGGAGAAAGAGAAATGATAAAAATAAACATAAGTCTTATTGGAAATACAGTATATTAGAAAGTGGTAAGTGCTATAGAAAATAGAGCAGGGAATGGGGTGAGGGGGCAGTTGCAATTTTAACTTTTTTTTTAATCCTCACCCAAGGACACTTTTTCACTGCTTTTAGAGAAAAAGAAAGGGAGAGAGACGGGCATTGATGTGAGAGAGAAACATCAATCCGCTTTCTCCCACATGCACCTGGACCTGTGATCGAACCTTCAACCCAAGCTTATTCCTTGACCAAAAATCAAAACCACAACCTAGGTATGTGCCCTGACTGGAAATCAGACTCCCTACCTTGTGGTATATGGGATGACACTCCAACCACCTTTAGCCACACTGGCCAGGGCAGCAGTTGCAATTTTAAAATAGGCTCATCAGGGTAGGCTTCATTGATAAGAGATCTGCTCTGTCTGTGGTAGCTCAATGTTCCTCATGTCAGTGTTTCTCTCTCCCTTCCTCTCTCTCTAAAAATCTAAAAAAAGAGGAGACATCTGAACAAAAACTTGAAGTAAACCATGGGAACATGTGGGGGGAAAGCATTCCAGGTAGGGGAACCACTAGGGCAGAGGCAGGAGCGGTCTGCCTTGTTTCAAGAATTGCATAGGGACCAGGGTGCCAGGAGGGAGGAAGAAGAGGCCAGCCAGATTGTGTAAAACCTTGTGGCCTATTGTGAGGACTTTGACTTTACCGGTTTTGGATAAAAACACCTTTAATAGAAGTTGTAATTTGAGCCCTGGCTGGTGTGGCTCAGTAGATTGAGCACAGGCCTGCAAACCAAAGGGTCACTGGTTCAGTCCCCAGTCAGGGCACATGCCCAGGTTGTGGGCTGGGTCCCTGGTGCGGGAAGCTGGTGAGGCAACATCAATGATGTTTCTCTCCCTCATTCTCCCTCCTTTCTTCTCTCTCTAAAAATAAATAAATCAAAGGCTGACAGTGACCAGAGGAGAGGGAATTTCAGGGGGATTTCAGGGGAAAAGGGGAAGGCTTTACAGGAACAAGTATAAAGGACACATGGACAAAAACAAGGGGGCGTGGAAATGGGAGAGAGGTGGGAAGGGGTGGGGGGTGGGCTGGGATGGG